CAGAAGCAGCAAAAGCAGCCAGCCCTTTCCCTGCCCTCCCTTTCTTTTCCTCCTAATAATAATAATTTTAAAAACTCCCTACTATAAAAATTGTGCCTATCTGGGAAAATCACACTTGAAGCTGATGATGTGAAGCTATGTGATCTGGAAAACTCAGGGCTGTCAAAATAATATTTTTTCTAATTCCTGCTAGCATTCCCTGTCTTTAGCAGTGACCTTCCAGACTTTGCTAGTGAGTTTTGTCCTCTCTATCGCTTGCCTTCAGCGTTAAAATAAGCTAAAACCCCCTAAGTATTTAAGATCGTGCAGCAATAACTGTGCACCTCCAAGGAAAATCATATTTGTAAAGCGAGTTTGAGAACTACACATGAAAAGTGTGCTCTAATATACAAGTGCAAAGAGACCTTGGGACTGCCTTGACAGAAAACCCAGATGGTTCCTTGAAAAGAATCCCTTAAAGTTACATGAAAATGAATTTTGCTGTGAAGAATGACTTTATAAAAATGGCAGTGTAGAAGATCTGCACATTTTTTATTTAAGAAGTAGTCTTCTAAATTTAGAGGGCTCTTTCAGTTCCGCTTTTCTTAGCAGTAGCCAGTGTTCAAGGAGCAGAATTTCTCACTGCTGTATGCCATTTCTGACCCACGAATATCTCAGTGCTGGCATGTCCCAGGCGTGTAATTGGGACAGAGCTGTTGACATCCAATGTTGCAAATAAGAGGGAGACCAGTAATTCACACTTACTTGCAGTTCTGCTGATGATGCAAGAGGTGGACAATAACTTGCATTGTTCCCCTCGTTTAGTTTTGGTCCATGAGTAGTGAGGAAATGTTTCTAATCTGAGTGGATCTCCCTCTGAGGATATTGAGGAAGGTAAGGCTGAGAGTTAAGGTAGCCTAGGAAATTTCCTGCAGAAAAATAAATGAATAAATAATACTGTGATTTAGATGGGAAGCAAATCTCACAAATTATTGCATTCTGACTGTAGTGTCACCAGGGTACAAGTATGCAGCCAGCAAATGAAGTGTGATGCAGTTTTTGCTTCTCACAACCACTGCATCTGGCAGTTTTAAATATTATTATTTGCTAAAAGTATTAGGCCCTTCTGGAATTGTTCTAGAGAAAAGATGCAAAATGGCCTATTCAGGGCCTAGGTCCTGGGGAGGTTCTCCCTGCCAGGCATTCCTAAGGAAACGTGTCTTCAGGAATCCCCATCAGTTTTTTTTTTTTCCCCTGATTTTAGGGAGACTTTCATCTGGTGAATGCTTTTGTGCCTTCCTTACGGGGTAAAAATCCTCGTGAGCCATCACAGCTAGCTTGTCATCCCTCTGCCTTGAGCAGCGCAGAAGACGCGGTGGATAAGTCTGATGTAACTGCACTCCCCAATTAATGCTGCCAAGCATGGGGTAGATTGCTAAGCCGATTTACTGCGCGCCTGCCAGCCATACCAGACTGATGCTGGAGAGCCAATTAGTCCAAATTATCCGGAGAGCGCTACCTGCTCGGCGGCCGAGACGTTGAGCGGCGCTTGTTTCTAGCTAGAACTGACTAAGGTAAAAGGTGCCATTTCTTGCAGCCCTTAATCGCAGCTGCAGAGCTCTCGCCTGGTGTAATCCTGCTCATGAAACGTGCTGAGATGGGAGCTGCAAGGCAGGGCTGTCATAGGTGTGAGGGCACCTCCCTGAAACGTGGAGCTTACTACACTGGGTAGCGAGATAACGTTAACTTCCCTGGAAGCGTAGGCACTCAAAAATACCTTAGGAATACATGCTGAGGCCGCTTCGCACTCCCTAAAAATGTTTAGCTGGTTTCCTTCACTTAGGACGAAGAAAATTTGAACCCAGAGCTGACTTTTTATGACAAGCTTCAGACGGATAAGTTAGTTAAAATAGTCAAATTAGATAACTGGGAATATGGAGGATTTTATAAAGGAAAATCACTCTACCTTTAACAACAGTTAACAACTGCATTTGACTTCCCTGTTTTTTATTTGACTAACAATGACTCTAGTGTTGATCTTTTTAATTTAGAAAACTAAACAGAGCTTTATTCAGTATCAGAAACTGAGGGGAATATTTTCTACTGTTTTCTCCTCTGCTACTAACATATAAGCATGTTTTTCCAACAAAGCTGGTTCTCTTTTTCATTAGTTGTAGCAGCATATGTGTAAATTTATTCTTGTGTAGCTCAACTCTTGTGTAGTTCAACTGTTACCTATGAGACTTTTTTCAGATTGTGTATATATTCTGCAAAATCATACGATGCTATGTGTTGGCCTTTGAAGTTAAGTTTACAGAGAGAGAGGCTAGTATCATGTTCCCTGGGTATCGCAAAACGCAGTGTACTTTGGTAGAAGCTTTGTGTGTGGAAGAGGATCGTATACGTAGCCTCACTGACTATCATTTCAAAATCAGGAGCTAAAATCTGTAACTCAGTAAGGGGGTTAACTTGGAAATTCATCCTGAGCATGTGCAACTCCTCTTCAAGCCCTTTTGAAAACCAGGTATTTTTATTTAGCTGTCTAGCTATTGACTTTGCTATCTAATGAGCCATCCAAAGCCAGAGCTGCACTGTTTGATAAGTGGAGGAATTCTTCATTCCTCAGTCGGTTGAAATCGGCCTTCCTTTCTGCTCCTCTGGTCTTCAGTGGGAGTCTCGCCAGCAAGAAATGCAGGACTTGGCCCCAAGTTGGTTACATAATGAGATATTACACGGTTGTGAAAGTCAATGACAGCACAAGGTTCATTGCCCTATTTCATAAAGGCCCTGAAATCTCCTTACAGTTGTCGGCTCAGCAAGAGTTTATTAAGGATGCACAGTCTCACTGGAATGTGTGCTTTCTGTTTGAACAGATGACACCATACATGAGTCAGCCGAGCGATCCCGTGGCGAGAACGCGGCACAGACACCGAGGATACCCAGCCGGCTCTTGGCAACTCTCTTGTTCCTCCTGGCAATGCTTTTGATATTATAGCACAGTATGCGCCAGCAACCTGCCACAGAAAATACCAGGGTCTTGGAACATCAAAGATCCACCTAACTGCTCATCCCGAGAAAGGGACTTTGTGTTTTGCGGATGTCAAATTGTTACTTTTTTCTTTTTCCTTTTTTTTTTTCCCTTTCAGCTTGAACTCTGAGCAAGAATTCTAGGGGATAACTAGTTTAAGCACCCATCCCTACCCTGTGACTTTCTTAACCCCTCCCAACAAATAAAAGGACTCCACATGAAAATGCCAAATTATAATAGTGACACTAGTGATTCTGATTTTCCTCTGCATTCTCCTTTAAGAAGCCACCTCTGTAGGCTCACTGTGTTGTCTCTATGTGGACAAGGAAGAATAGTGGCAGATGCAGTCAGTGAAGGCTAAGGAAATTCCGTGAAAGCCTGAGAGGGACTTGCTCTCCGATACAATATTTATGCCTTCTCATTCAGCACTGTAAGATGATCATGCAAGGCATCGTGTCACCATGTCAGGACTGGAGGGGAGATATTAACAATAGATATGTTTAATATAACACCATTTCCTCTAGGAGTTTGCCACCTCTGTAGGCTCACTGTGTCATCTCTATGTGGACAAGGAAGAATAGTGGCAGATGTGGTCAGTGAAGGCTAAGGAAATTCCGTGAACGCCTGAGAGGGACTTGCTCTTCGATACAATATTTATGCCTTCTTATTCAGCACTGTAAGATGATCATGCAAGGCGCCATGTCACCATGTCAGGACTGAAGGGGAGATATTAACAATAGATACAATATAACACCATTTCCTCTAGGAGTTTCTAAATGAGCGGGCTTCTAAAAGGAAAAGACAATGTTTCTTAGAGGACTGTCTTGAAATATCTTTGACAGTGATACTTGTGCTTACCGGTAGAAATGCTGTCTTTGGTGAGAGGAAGAAGTTAATACTTAGGAATGTTAGTAGCAGGCAAGGTCAGATTTAGAAAACTTCACTGGGGATGTGAGTGCCTTTGTTATTTCTGTTTAAGTGGATAGTGCACACCAGATTATTTTATTTCAAAGCAGATCACCATGGTGCTACAATCTTTTTTTTTTTCTTGAAATGCAAAGAGGCATTTTTGAGAATAAAGTGACCTTCCCCAGCGCTGACTAAGTAGCTGATAGCCTTGGATGCTGCTCTGGGTGTTGATACATGCTAAGAGAGGACATCAGTGACCAGAGGAAACCTGTTTGGGACACAGGATCTTCAGTGTGCTCTTGATTTGTCTCCCCTGCAAGTTCCTCAGTCATGGGAATAAAACACAAGTAGAAGAAGCCAGGACAGTCTAGTAGCGTTTGGTGGGGGAAAGAAGTGTGGAATATGAATTCAAGTGTTGACCAAGTATGTCTTTTTCCCCTTCCAGCGCAATTTGAAGAGTAGAGGAAACGTGTTTATCAGCAGGAGATAAACTAGATGGGCTCCCAAAGACTTAACAAAATATTTTTTTAAAAATCCACTAGAATAGAAAATACATTATTTAGATATACTTTATGCTGAGAGTGAGTATATATGCTTGTCCTATTTAAACTTGTGAGAGAAGTGGTAGCCCTTGATGCAATTAGAATACAGGACTGTCTTGTTTGATGGAATTGAGACGGACCCTGTTGAAGGCACCTGAACCTTGGCGAAGGTTGGGCTTGAAGAAGTCCCTTGCCAGGAAATGCAAGCCTGGGGATATTTTTTTGGCAAGGCTGCCATGAAATGTGAACTGCAAAGAGTAGAATCAGGGAAATAACCAGACCAACATTGAAACAAAGCTTTTTAGCAGCAACTGGGGTAATTATGCTAAATGCAAAATGAAATATGGAACTCATTGAAACAAAACAAAGATTTTTATATTAATTATGAAGAAAAGCTCTGACATAACAAAATTCAGCGATGCCATTAACGGACAGCATTTGGGGACTCCTTGTCTTTAAATGAAGAAAGCTTTCCTGAAGTTGTAAGCAGCCTGTTAACTCAAGAAAGGAGGAAAGGGGTGTTAAGCTGCTGAGATGCAAGGGAGGTTATATCCCTGTTAACGTAAAGCCTGGGCTTGCCTGATGCCGCTCAGTGTGGCGATTGATGCGGGACTTGCTCCTGGGGTGGGATCCAGGAACCTGCCTCTCGAGTCAAGCGCATGCACCCAGGAGGGACCGTGCAAACCCCGATGGGAGTCGTGGTCTCGTTGCAGCAGCCTCCCCAGTCCTCTTCTGCGAGCAGTGCGTGTGCTCAGTGCACACACACAGTTGAGCTCGGGAAGAGGGGAGCTGGAGGATCAAATTGCGCCTGACCGAGTGGGTTATTAACCAGGCTACAGGTAGTGCTGCATGACAGGTACCCGTGTTAAAACGATTCGTAACGGCTGGAGGCACGTCGTCGTGCCCACAGTGCCAATCTCATTCAGAAACGGTGACCTTACCTGTTCGGCCTTGGTCCCTCCGTGACGTTGGGCGCTGAGAGGCGCGTTTGTGCCCAGCGAGGCCTTCTGCACTCGTGCCGCTCGTGGTGCAGAGCAGCCCCTCGCCTCACCCTCACCACGCGGGTCGGGCGAGGGGCGGCCAGGGCGCTGCAGGCCGCGGGCAGGGAGCACGTCACCTTGGTGCGTGGTGGCATCAGGCAACCCTGCTCACACCGTGTCCACAAGCTGCGCTTTGTGCCGAGCCGCAAACCTCGGGGTGCTGGAGGGCTGCTGAGGGCTGTGTGAGCCCTGAGCAGATCTCCACCCCCTGCCCAATGCCGACCCCGCGCGAGGGGCTGGCGCTCGCGGTGTGCACTAGGTCGCTCCTACGAGCTGCGCTCCTGGTTGCCCAGGGCAGTGCAACGTGAAGCAGGGAAACACGGCTCAGTCGGTTTAGTGGATACTGTGTATCCTTTAATAGACAAGGTAACATTTCGTGTTAGTTTAGAATATTGTTTTGTACTGTACTTTATTGGATGGCAAAGGAAAGACAATTAAAACTTAAAGCTGTGTTCTTTAAATTCTGTATTATTAGCAACCTCTGTTGTATATAGTGTTTGATAATAAAGTATTAATTTGATTCTTATGTCTTTTGTAAGTGAGAACAATAGACTTTCAGGATATTAAAATCGTGCATTGATTACAAGACAGAGCTTTGAAGCATCAAGCGTGATCATGGCTGAGAACTGAATGACGAGTGCCATGACACTGCAGCATACAGGACTCATCTGTGGAAATCGTTCATCTATTGCAAGACTTCACAATGTCAAGACCTGGAACATGACTTTCGATGATCAATGTTTTGTCCTCAGTGTTTAAAGGTCTGATGTTGGAGCCCTGTGGTTTCTGTGTTAGTTTTTTGTTCTTTTTTTTTCGTTGTTTTTATCATGTTTGTTTCTAAAAAAAGGTATTGGGGATTTAGCAACTCTTCTATTCTATTGTTTCTCTCTTTCCTTTTTTAAAACCTGTTTTCCTTCTGATTTTGTTTCCATTAATAGTTTTTACAGAAGGATCTTGCCAGTGTCACGTGTGATATGTGTATGTACTTGATTCCAAAACGACTAGAGACAGCTTGGGGAGGGATCAAATGTAGATTATTTGCTTTCCTGTATAACTACAGAAAGAAAAGGGTTACCTTTGTACCTGTTGATTCCTCACCCCAGCCCTTAAAACTGAACCTCACCCGTTGCCTTGTGAGAGCAATGGTTCGGTCGCTCTCAGAGACTTGGAAAAGAGCGTCCACTCCTCCCCTCCTTTCATCACACTTGCATTTTGTACTCACTTTTGCTGGACATCCCTCCACGCTCCTCTCCCCTCTTCCTGCCCGTCCTCTTCCTCCTCCTGCCTTCTCCTCACCCCGCTCCTCTTAATTTGGAGCTCTGAATGGGCAGATCTGTTTCTGGTCTGGCATCAGCGAGTTTTTCCCATGCATTCGCCCCCGAGCTTCTCGGGTGTGAGACAAATCTCCCTACAATAGGCTTGCTGCCATTGTCTGTACAGTTTAATAGATGCTGGCATGTTGGAGGTTACCCATGAGTCTGCGAAATCCGCTCTCCATGCTTACTCCTGACACCCCATTGAAGCCACTCATTGTGTGTGCATCTGGGTATGAAAGTCCAGCTCAGTGTGGTCCTGTGCTTGTACTGCCCTGCTTTGCAGTTTCTTTGCACTTATTCATCGAGTGCTGTTTTGGAAATGCTTACATTATATGAACTTAAAATGTAAAAAAAAAAAAAAAACACCCCCCCCACCCCATAAGATCTGTATTTGTATATACACGTGTCCGTACAATTATACTTAAATAAAATTAAGATTTTCATCATTTTAATTGGTTCTCTTAAGCTACATTTTTGTTCGCTGAATTATGCCTTTATTTTAGGGGCTCTTTGCACCTACCTTACATACCTGTGGCAGTGGAAAGCAAGCGTGAAGAAGGCTTTTGGGTATGATGACTGGCTACCTCGGGCTGCAATTACCAATATCTGGCTGCTCTGCTTCCTCACCGCCTTTCCATGCGTTTGTAGCCTTTGCAAACACTTGGGCGACTAAGGAGCGGTGTTGAGCAGGTGTCCTAGAGTTGCGTGGTTTCCACCGTTGCTTTTGGGCTTCCAGGGCGATCTTCACGCCTCCACCGGGTGACCAGTGTCTGGTAACCAATCCTAGAGCTCTGCAAACAGGGCAGTTGTACATGGTGCCCCTTACTCGGGATGCCCCTCTGAGTGACAAAGACATGGGGTTGGAAGAAGCTTAAAAAGCTCCGCCGTGTTTTGGTTCAAGACAAGGAAAGGACGGGGTGGGAGCGGGGGAGCCCCGTGGCCGGGGAGCCGTGGGCAGCGGTGCCAAAAAAAGGCCCGAGCCGGGATCGGCCTCGACTCGCATCTGGGTCGGAAGTGGTTGTCTTTCACAGCGCCCTTTCAATAATCGCACCGTAGCTATGGTGGTTTAACTGGAGAAATTGGGTCACAGGAGGTGGGGGACACATACTGAAACCTGTAATACATGCACCATGCATGCAAAATGCAGCTTTAATTACACCGTGTTAGCATTAAACTCACTTAAAGCTTTTTATTACATTTAATTAGTTGACGGGGCAGCAAGTCCTAATTATAACTTACTGTAACCTCCTTCACAAACGAGGAGTGACAGCTTGGTGAGAAGAGAACTGCGTGTGAGGATTTGACGGAAAGAGCGGATGCCCCACTCTTTTTCCTCTGGAGCTGTGATGTTGCAAGCGGGGCAGGATTATAAGTGACAT